GACTACTTAAATAGGCAACCAAAAGTTGCATGTATGGCTAGTTGTACTCTCGTTAGTTAATAATCAGAGAGCTTAAACAGGTAATCTCCTAGTTAGGTTGCAGATATGGTGGCTAGTGTAGAACCCAGGCGAATTACTTAAATTAGGTACCAAAAGTACATGTGTGGCTAGTTATTATATGAAAAAGGCTGACATCTAAAATAAAAAATTAAATTAAACAATTTTTGAACAATAAAGAAATAGTCAATATGAGTTTATATAAAACTAATACAAAAATACAAAAGTCTGTTATATATCTTCAAAATACCAAAATAGCACTATAAAAATAATTTTTAAAAATATATTCAATAGAATAAAGCATACTTTATTTATGAGTCAATTGCAAGGATATAGATACCAATATTAAAAAGATTTAGGTGGCTTGTGCAATACTTGCAATAATTATAAGTATCTAGTATTTGAAGATATAAAATTGTTAGTTTTGTTACATATAACAGATGAGAATTTCTGAGTAAATATTATTTATTATAAGGATATTATTATAATCAAATATTGGTTTTAATATATATTTTGTATAATAGAAACTTTTATTAGAAAAAATAGAAAGTTGAGAAGATATATATATCTAGAATTAAAAAATTGAATATTGCTAAAAATAGAATTATATTTCACAACCCCTATATTAGTCATTATGTTTTTTTTACTTTTGGTGTCTGTGACTTACTATATTTTAAAATATATAAACAATATGAGAATATTTTACAATTTTTTGAACAACTCAAGGTAGCGTTAAATAAAAAATATGATAAAATTTTAAATAAATATAAACAAAAACTTATAGCTTGAATAAGCCACCATGCTTATAAAACTTATCTGAATATCTATATCAAAACTAATCTTGCCAAACTTGACTCTAAGAGTGTGATAATAATTATTAACTACAAAATGAAGATTTTACCTCAATTGTTATGTAAATCTAAAAAAGATTTTTTTAGCAAAAGAAGATAGAGCTCTCAATTAATATTTGTATATATAAAAGATCTTATTAATAATTGTTTGAACTTGCAAGTTTTCGATTATTGAAGTGATGATACTTGCAGAATGCCTAGTTTACTATATTATTTTTGCATATAGTTTTTGAAACTATGGATCCAAAGCCTAAATAGGTTACTATTTTATTAAACAATAGAATGCATTATCATTGTATAAAATTGATGCTAGTCATTAAATAATAGCAAAATTAATATAACATTACTTCTTAGTAGATTTTTTTTGAAGTAGATGAAGCAAAAACTATTATTGATTTATACTATATATAGATATAGTACTGTTAAATTTTTTTTTTTATAATGCAAATCTCTAGTATATTTTTACTATTTTGTAAATTAACAGATAAGTTAACATATTTTTGGTTTGGTTTAGAAAGATTTTTTTTTTGTGATTTTAGACAAGTTTACAATTTAATTAGTTATAATAAAAAGTTATATCTGATATTTACATATAAATAGATTTCTCATACTATAAAACAATATATCAAACTTGGTTATAAGCTTGAATTAGAAAATGATATAGAGGCTGCTATAAGCAATATTGCTAGCATAAGAGTTGTTAATATAATACCAAATAGAGATTTTGGTAAGAAACTTTGTATAATAAATAATTTTACAAAATCTAAAAATAATTAATACAGTATAACCTATCAAAACTGATATGCATGGTGAACCAAATTTGTATTAGTTTTGACAGGTTATCAGATTTGAAGAATAAAATTACTATATTTAATTAAGAGATAGTAGATCAATTTTTTATCAGTTTTGACAGATTATTAGTTTTAATAGTATCAGTTTTGACAGGTTATATTGGAATTTTTTTTTTTTTTTTTTTGTGTTTAAGGTGACCTCTTTGGCCGGGGGGCTTTTTATTAGATAATTAACAACGTT